TGTGTGGTTGTGGTGTGGTACACATATATGTATATTTTTTTTTTTTGGTGTTTGGCTTAGTGTTATGTTAGAATCATTATTATACTCATACCTTTTGTTCTTTAATATTTTGAATTGTTTTTAGCTTTATTTTTTGTTTTTCATTTAAATGTTAAGTTTTGAAATTTTGTTGTATACATTTGTCATTTTTATTTAATTTATTTTTAAAATGTGTATAAGTAGTATTTATAAAGTTTTAGCTTTTAGTTTTGAATCTGTTTTTAGTTGTTTTAAAACTACAATTGATTGCTTCTGTTGTCCTCATTTGTAAGTCGCTTTGGATAAAAGTGTCTGCTAAATGACTAAATAATTAATTGCTGAACCCAACAATTGTTTTTTTTTTTTCACTAGAAAGGGGGGGAAATGGTCAGATTAGTCACAAATTGAGTCTGTTCATAGACTTGGTTTCATTTCATCGGCTGCTCAAGGCTGTTTATTTGTTGCCTTAGGTGTCTGTTTTAATATAAAAACCAAGTACCAGAGGCTGATATCTTACATTCAGTACTGATCCAACCTCAGATCAGTGTGTTCTCTTTTCTGAAAAATTATCTTGACATTTTATTCCATGAATCTTCTGTAAGACTCCTGTAGATCTGTTCTGATGACTGTCTTTATAGTCCTAGTGCTTGAATTCAGCACAATTCAAGCCACATTTTATGCATGAGCTCTATAGAAGTGATCATACAGAAGTTATGTCAAACATACTCTCTTCCCGGTTCAACTTGCATAAGTGGATTTGCGTTTCTGTTTCTGTCTGCTGAGGCCAATGCTATTTTACCTTGAGTATTCTCACGGCTCACTTTGATAAATGAATAAACCCATATTCAAACCCTCTGCCTGTTTCTTTTTTTTTTCTCGCGGTGTCTCTTTCTCTCACAGGTGCTTTGAATGTTTATTTAATGAAAATGAGAAAAGGAAATGGGGAAACTCTTGCGTTTTAGCTGTTTTACTCAGTATTTTTTGCCACTGAATTACTTCTTCCCCAGGATGTCGTGGCTTTTTAGTCAAGATGTTTTTGTCAGCGAGCTTCTGTTTGACAACTCCCTCATCTCTCTGTCTTTCTTATTCTCTCTCTCCCCGTCTCTCTTTCTGCCACTCTCCCAAACGAAACGGAACAAAGCAACTCTGTACCCCATCTAACCCCCCTTAAAAAAAAAAGATAAAGTTCTGCAGAAAATATTTTTCAATATTGTATGAGACTGGATGCCTCAGAAGAGCTGATTTTCCTTCCTGTGGTTACTGGATAAGTAATGGAGAAGTCTTGTTAGGCAGAACTAAACATTTCCAGTGAATAATTCAGATGGAGCTGGATGTGAAAGCTTCGTGATTTTTTATTTTTTTATTTTGGCAAATGGGCTTCTGGTAATAATTGATTTGAGGCATTAATGATAAACTGTCTGTCTCATGCTCTAGGTGGGCGTTACTGTGAATTAAATAATCAACGTCAAAAAGACACTGATTTCTAAGCGTCAATTGGGGCATCATATAGAGTCAGATTTGAGTGTATGTTAAGTTAAACTGCTAGTAGTTTGACATGGTTCTGTCTGCATAAATAATAGTCTGGGAGAGCACAGTGTAATAACTAGCATGTAAAGTCCTGTTCCTTCTAACACGGGTATGACAGTGTTGAGTAGAAGTAAGCCCAAGAACACATTATAAGACAAAAGGAATCTTTTTTGACTCCTTTTTTGCTTTACTTTTTACCTTTTTTATTTACATTTTTTTCTTAGTTTTTTGGGGATCCTGCTTCCCACTGTGTTGTTCTCTTCTGGTACTTTTGCTGTCAGTTTTGACAATTTTGTTGGCTGTTGCTCACTTCTGCTGTCTTGCCAGTCAGTATAGCATGCAAACCTGACGACCAGTCATACAGATTTCAAAACTGTTTGAAATTTGTCATACTGTTTGTTACAGCATGTCTCCCAGTGAGATACTTCATATGCATTTCAATAATTGTCTGCTTTAGGTTGGCTACCAAATTGGACAAAAGAAAGATACATTTGGCTGTGAGAGAATTATTGGTACCCCCAGCCCAGTCATTTACACCTCCAGATTTCAGAAATGGGTAGGAAAAATCATTTTGGACCCTCTATGACCATTCAGCTGGTCACTTCAGAGCTCTGAGCACCAGAAAATCCAGCCACAAGAGCAGCTACTTACTACAGGCCATCTCTCTCATGAACAGCTGACACTGCCAGATCTTCAGTGCAATATTTAAGACGATGCATTTTTACTGGCAGTATGTAAATTCGAAGCCACAAATTCAAACTTGAGGACTGTCTGCAACAGGAACACGCTGTGAGTTGCTCATGATCTGAGGCTTTTTGACGCAGACCTAAAGCATGGGCAGTATGTAGGGAAGTATGTTGTATTAATGTGGATTGTGTCTTCTTTCTCCCTCAGGTATGGCAGTGCTGAGTCTGAGTTTGCAGCATTTCATAGCTGGTCTCATCACCACTCTGACTTTCACCACAATGATGAACTGCACACAGAGAGCTGAGGAGAGCATACAGGTATCACATGCCACCCTCTTCAACTGACCGTAGCTCTTCATGCTCCCTGACAGATCAGATCAGAACAGACTGCTTAACGGCATCACACGTGTTCACCTAAGGTCAACAGCGTGACAAATCTATTGTGTTTTCTCTTCAGTTTTAGCAGTCAGGTTCTGAAGACAACAAAACATGCATCTTACAGTTTTTGATAGTTGTTGACAGGTAGAGTCTCACAACAGGCCGTGAACTGCAGAAAGCCTGAGAGTGTTTCCTGTCTGCCACATAAGTGAGCATATCACAGCAGTCAAAAGCTCATTTATCTGTCAGTCAATAGCTCCATCAGAGATCTGAGCAGTTTTCACACTCTCTTTAGCTCTACACGTCAACCCATTTCAGCTCATCAATCACCTATAAAGCATATGCATCAGAAAGTCTGTTCTCATTCATAGATTTGACATTTGATTATTTTTTTTTTATTATTATAGTTGGTCAAGATTATATCTTTGGTTGTAGCAGTAACCCAGTGGTTAGTTCACTAGCTCTGACGCATTGAACTGTGGTGCTCATGTGGGCAATACCTACAAGTTTAAGACGTAATTTGTGTTATTTCTGTTCTCTAGTTTTCAAAAATTTCTTCTCAGCAAAAAGTCTCAATAGTAACAGCTTGCACTGTTTCAGTAACTTGTTTGTACACTACCGTTGAAAGTATGGGGTCAGTAAGATTTTTTAAAAATGCTCTTGTGCTCACCAAGCCTGCATTTATTTGATCTGAAGTACAGTAAAACATTATATTATGAATATTATGAATTTTCAGCAGCCATTACTTCAGTCTTCAGTGTCCCCAAAACTTTGAATGTGTAGTATGGCTGTAAATGAATGAAGCTCTTTTTGTTATAGGAATATTCATTGCAAGAGCTATTATCAAGTATTTATATTGGCCTTCAGTTTATGAGATGCCATGGTCTTGTGTGTGTGTGTGTGTGTGTTTGAACTGAGCATTATACTAATTTTCAATTTTGTTATTTAAAAAAAAAAAAATGATATTTACAATAATTGCTGAGAATTATACAGATATTTATACAGCTGTGGTGATTATGAAATCCATGCTGCAAATCTATAAACAAAGATTTTTGTTTATTTTTGTCTTGTGTTTTGTATGTGCATGGGAATAAAGCAGCAGATGCATTTCGCATTAGTGATTCTTGTAGGTGCATTAGGTGTGTTTTGCAAACTATATTCTGTCATTTTACTTTGTCAGTGAACTAACAAGGTGCTTCTGTGTCACCATTACAGTGTAAAGACAGCTTATCTGTCTATCAATAAGGAGTGCATCCATACCAGATCTATTCTTCACAACAATCAGCTTCCTGTTTTGTCCCGCTAATCTTGTGTTGCCTAATTTCTCTCCTTGTTAGTTCATTTGTTCTTTCTCTCTATTTGTTTATTTATGTGTCCCCTAGATGATAAACTGTAGTTCTCACTGTTCACAGATAGCTCTCCCCTCCCATGTTCTCTCGTTTCATCCCCTCGTTCATCTTGGACATGATTGTATTGTCCTGTTTAAATGGGCCTGCGCTGCTTGCATGTGATCTTTCACTGCTCTCTCAGCTATTTGTCATTCCATCAGCTCAGTAATGCTGAATTAATGGCACTAACTCATTAAACAATAAGAGAAGTGTATGTTTTCCCTTGGTCCCCAAGCAATGAATAATTCAGATTCACGTTCAGAGTGAAATAACCAGGAGGAGGATTGTAAACTATAGGTTAATTTGAAATGTTCCTATGACAAACATACCGTAGCGAGAGCAGCTTGTGTGTGTTTGTTTTAAGGTGGTTTTAGCCGACCGAAAATTGATACTGTGAATGTTTGTGGAAAGGCCCTGGAGGGAGAAACTGAACACCTTAAACAAGTTTGTAGGAATAAAGGTACTTCACTTAACTTTAGTGGTGGGGCCATGTGAAGGAATGGTCTTGGTTTTGCTTTCCCAACCTGTGTGCTAAGTTGAAGGAGAAGAGTATGGAGACTGTCTCTGATGTCTAGACAGGAGAGAGGGATTTGATCCTCCTATTGGAATTGTTTTGACGTGAGGCAAAGTTAAAAATTGATAAATAAGAATGAAGTTAAAATGTCATCAGTTACATTGAAAAGTAACACATGTGAAAAAGGTTAAAAGCAAACATTTCAGTTGTGCTCATACTCTTGTCACCTATGGCATTTATTTTTTCTGATCCCATCTTCCCCTCTTCTCCCTATTATTTCCTGTACTATCTCTGACTGTCATGTTCAATGAAGGCAAAAAGGACCATTTAAATTAGGGAAGCACAATGTATATTGGTTATCAGATGATATTAGAGAAATTTGTAACTTATTGTAAAATTGTATGTTTATTAATGATGCGTATTTTATTGTGCCTGCTCATTTTCCCTATTCTTACATTTAGTTCATTTTTATCATCATCCAACGCTGACTTAAAGTTGATCCATTTCTGTTTAGAAATAGTTTCTACATTTCTTTCTGAGTTTCTGTTTCTAAATAATTATATTTTAATTTTAATTTAATTTCAGTTAGTTGCTAAGGCATAATTTCACATTTTTGTTTTTCATCTAATATTTAGATTTTATTTTATTTCAGCTTCATTTCAGATTTTAAAAAGTTTTATAGTTTTAGTAAACAATAACAAAACTTAACATTATTATGTTGTGATGCCTAAATTCACTTGTGTTGTTTAGCATCAGTGATTTTAGTATTTTAATGTTTTCTTTTTAAATTACTTAGGCAAAATACTATAGAATTGTAATATGAGCTCTTTATCAGCCATAAGATGAAAAAATCAAATCAAATTTGGGTTACTGGCCAGATTTCTAAAATCGGTGCATCCTAATGTAAACATCACTTGCATAATTAAGTGCAGGACCTTTGAATGATTTGAAAACATTTCATAATGTAGATTTCTGTGAATGAATGGCATGTTTCACACACGGGTAACACCTGAATCTAGCCTTACAGCAAAACACATTTCCCTTTCTTCCTTTATAATTTATTGTCCCTTTTTCATTGTTCTCGAGAAAATCCCACAAATCGTCAAAAGTTAATGCTAAACCTCTTTCTGTATTTCCCTCTCTCTCTCTCTCTCTCTCTCTCTCTCTCTCTCTCTCTGTCTGTCTGTCTCTGTTCAGGCCACCCACTACAGTTTTCTGGCCACTCTGGAGGTCCTGGGCAAACTGAGTTTTAGTGCCCTGGCTGGTGGTTTGGTGGACACTGTGGGCTTTCCCATAGCCTTCATCCTTTTCCTCTTCCTCACCTCCAGCAGTGCCCTGCACGTGTGGAGGGCCACAGAAACTGGCATCCTGAAGGAGCAGCTCAAAGAGCAGCCACAGTGACCAGAGTTGTTAGCCTATGAGAGAGAGAGTGTATGGCTTGGTGAAAGATATGGAAATTGAATCTTATACTTTGCATAAGATATTGGTGACCCAAATAGCCAGTGAAATTAATATGTTGTTTTTATTTGTATTTATTTATGACTCAACCAGCATTGACGTTACAAGAGCCACACAAGCACTCTCACTGAAAGCCAGCACCTCTCTGAAAAACACTGCAACTTCTTAACAGCTACATTGCACCTCTACAGTAAACTAGCTTTAAAGGTACTTGCTTTTCAACGAGTCATCCTGAATGGCAAGCAGACTGAGCTATGGCAACACTGTGAATATGTCATCTAGTCTGCTTGAAGCCAGGACAGCAGTCAATCATTTAAAAAAGAATCAATAACAAAATATGGATAATCTATTATGTTTGATATAATGGACAATGACAACTGTAGTATTCAGTATGATTTTACTGGTTATTAAAGATGAATAGCTTGTTTAAGGGTCTAGTCTAGTTTGGTTTAGTTACACACACCCTAGTCATTTACACATTTCCTTATATACAGCATGTATTCACCTTAGAAATGCCTTTAGTTTTTAATCTGATGCCTTCTGACACCTTAGATACATTTGCAGCAAATTCCATCAGCTTATTGACCAATCAGTAACATGCTACATTTTAAGGACTTGATTTTTGAAATCATGTAAATTTGGGAACAGTGTGAACACTGAATTATGGTACTATGCTTAGTGGAGTGCATTTTTGTATTCTCAATGCAATACTTGTATTAAAGGGGTCATATCATTGGAAAATGAATATTCATATAGAGTTAAATATAAGTTAAGTGTATTACAAAAAAGCATTGTACCTTTTGACAATATTGTACATCCAACCCAGATTCCTATTTGGTGTTCAGCAACCAAAAAATATTAACTTAACTCCAAATAAATTAATGAAAAGAGTGAAATAAGTTAAAAACCTTGTGTTGTTCCTTTGTGGAGCAACTGAAAATCCTCATCCTTCCTAGAATTATTAGGAAATGTTAGAAAAGAGTGGCCCAGCCACAAACATGACCCAACTACTTCTCATTTCACATGTCAACATGGTGTTTACATTTGCACGTCTTCATCAGAAAGAGTCATAAAAAGAGTAGAAAGTGGTCATGACAAACTGTTTTGATGCAGAAAACTTGACTAACATTGTAGGTGGACCTCAGGGAAAAAATAGTTTTAAAAAGTATGACCCCTTTAATGTCTGTTAAATACTGTACATTGTAACAGTTAAACTCATCAAGCTCATTTTTTTGAGCCAGTACGTGTATTTGTTTGAAATGTTTGTTTTTGTATAATGAGTTGTCTGCATTTCCTATGCAATAACACAAATTTATTCATGATTATTACATACAACTTTGCTTCTCGTATATAAAAAAAATTAAAAAAAATTTAAATAGCCTTACTTTTATTATATATTTTTTTATAATTTACTGCAGAGCCAAAACGTGGAGATATTGTTGAGACTATGTAAGCATATGTGTGGGATTTGCCATAACTAATGTGTTTAAGATGCCATGAAACTATAATTATTTATACAAATGTCAGTTTTGGATTGGAATTAAAAAAAAAAAAATCATCCAATGAAACTGCAACTAGCCTATATAGTGCAGTTACAGTATATGTTTTCCATTCCTGTTGAAAGCAGAAAAAATATACTTAATGCACTGTATTATAGTGTCATTTTGCTCTTGGTTTTATTATTTATTTATTTTTTATTTTTTTGCATTTGTTTTCTTAGAGAAATAGAAACAGACAGTCCCAATTAAATACTACATTTTAAAAATCATAACACTTTATGTGATAAATGGAAAAGTTGTGGCCAATTGATGTTTTTTTTTTCATTCATTAAATTAAATCCTCTGATAAGCAAAGCTCTTACCAAACGAGAACCATTTTTGGAATTTTAGCTTGGACTACATGAGACTCAAAAATAAAAGCTATTACTGAACCCAGAGTGCGTCTGTGCTTTTATGAACTTATCAGACAAGAATTAAAAGTCTGTGTTATAAAGAGACGTGGCATAGAGGTGATCAGTTTGTGGTACTGCTGAGGTGGTATGGAAGCCCAGGTTTCTTTGACAGTGGCCTTCAGCTCATCTGCATTTTTTGGTCTCTTGTTTCTCATTTTCCTCTTGACAATACCTCATAGATTCTCTATGGGGTTCAGGTCTGGCGAGTTTGCTGGCCAGTCAAGCACACCAACACCATGGTCATTAAACCAACTTTTGGTGCTTTTGGCAGCGTGGGCAGGTACCAAATGCTGCTGGAAAATGAAATCAGCATCTTCAAAAAGCTAGTCAGCAGAAGGAAGCATGAAGTGCTCCAAAATTTCTTGGTAAACGGGTGCAGTGACGTTGGTTTTCAAAAAACACAATGGACCAACACCAGCAGATGACATTGCACCCCAAATCATCACAGACTGTGGAAAAACTGAACACTGGACTTCAAGCAACTTGGGCTATAAGCTTCTCCACCCTTCCTCCAGACTC